CAATGGCTGAAAGGGACAACAGCTGCTACTGGGTAAGGGGAGACGATGGGCACCAAGACCCAGGACACCACTTGGCCTTCAATACTGGCCACCCACCATTCACTCTGATGAGGCCATAATATGTGAAGGGGGAATTTTGACTGATAGCATCCTCTGAGCTGGAATCCCAGCTCGCACAGCAATCAGCAGAAAGGGGCAGCCCAGTAGGGACTGAAAACCACTGCTCCAGGTGAGGTTTGAATTCACAACCTCAGCATGTCTCCTATTCACACTGCTTTATAAATACTGTGCACTGACCCATTGCACCACTGGAGCAGATGTTTGAGAGTTTTCTCCAAAGTCCTTACATTGAGAAAGTGAAGAAGCACAAAGTAGAATTGAGCCAGAGGGTCAAGAAGATCAATTCTCAAGGATTTACACAAACCAACAATTCCCCAGCAAGTCCCACTGAGATTTGAACTCAGCTTGTGAGATTCAAGCTCCTGATCCCTTCCCCTTATATTATGGGACCATCACACAGCTCTGTGCTCGAGGTTCTCAGCTGGTAGCTGATATGCTGATCACCTTGTTTCTTCCATTCAGCTGCATCCCCTCTCCAGACCCTGCCCCATCAGTATGTGGGCTCATGGGAATGAGCTGGCTCCCTCTCCTGCAGAGGAAGGAGAAATGTTGCCCTGTCCCTCCTGCTTAGCTGGCTGGCCCCAGGTAAGGTCACATGAGATTATCCAAGCACATCCCCATCAGCCCACAGCCCTGTTCCATATCTAGGGCCAGCACTGGGTGGGCAGTGGTCAAGGAGGCAGCGACTCACAGGAAGAAGTCGGGGCAGGGCTAATGAGATTATCTTGATTTGTCAATGCCAAGCTGTGGCCAAAAAGGGTGAGGTAAGGATCCAACCCAGGAAGGCTCCTGCCATCTGTTGGTACCTGCCAAAGCCTGGGTATGAACCAGGGATCTTTAGAATATCAGTCTAAAACTCTCTCCACTGAGCTACTTTGGCTGATGGGTATGGAATTCTCTGGCCTATAATTCTCT